TTTGAATGGAAGGTATGAAATAAAAAGCTGATGTTTAACTTTGTACTGTTACTTTGCATAAATCTAACACTTTTTTGTCATACTCTCAAGTTGTAATTACAATTCTGTTTTTGTAAAACTCTATACATAATTTGTTCTCATACATCAATTAAAAGGCACTATCCAAAAGTCTATTATTATTTTTATATTATTTATCACAAATCACAAGTCCCCAATGATACCAACGAGAGGACGATATGTATGCACTCCGTCCATTAGTTCGTCCGTCAGTCCGTCCAACAGTGCGTGGCTTTATTTGGAACTTATACATTTATTTTCAAGGACAATGTATGCTGTATGTGAGTAACTATTGAGATGGCAAAGTGTCTCGAACTGAAATCAGACTCAATGAATATCCAGAGTTATGGCTCTTTTCACACCGTTTGTAACTTTGTCCGGGACAACTTTCATGTAAAATGTCAACTCCGATTGCCAAACAATGTATGTGTGTACATCTTGGGACGGTAGAATGTCGCAATTAAAACCGGGTACCTTGTCCCAACATAACACAGAGTTGGGGACTTAGGATTGCTCGCAATATTTATTCTGCTGACATTTTACCTTATCGTTGGTGACCTTCTCCCTAAATAATGTGACCTTTCACCTTAACTCTGACAACATTCTAACTTAATCCTGATAACCTTTCACCCTTTTTTCTGGCGACCTTTCCCTGATACCCGTATGAACTTTGCTCACCTCTGTTGACCTTTCATTTTGTTATGGTGACCCTTTAGGATCCTTCACCTAGCCCCTGTCTTCCTTTCACCTTGTCTGGTAATATTTCACTTACCTCTTATAACCTCTTTACTTCTGGTGACCTTTTACCCCTTGTTCATTGTCTCTGTTGATCTTTCACCACTTGTTCTTTATCTCTGGTGACCTTTTATCACTGGTTCACTGTCTCTGTTGACCTTTAAACCATTGGTTATTTTTTATCTCTGGTGACCTATACCACTTGTTCTTTATCTCTGGTGACCTTTTACCCCTTGTTCATTGTCTTTGTTGACCTTTAACCCATTGTTCTTTATCTCTGGTGACCTTTCACCACTTGTTCTTTATCTCTGGTGACTTTTCACCACTTGTTCTTTATCTCTGGTGACCTTTTGCCCCTTGTTCATTATCTCTGTTGACCTTTTACCCCTTGTTCATTGTCTCTGTTGACCTTTCACCCCTTGTTCTTTGTCTCTGGTGACATTTCACAACTTGTTCTTTATCTCTGATGAGCTCCATTTTTTACTCAGGGACCGCGGTGGCCAAGTGGTGAAGGCGTCTGCTATTCTGCTACCACTAGCCCTTCAACCTGGTTTGCGGGTTCGATACCTACGTGGGGAAGTCGCCAAGTACTGTCCGTAGGTCGTTGCTTTTTCTCCGGGAACTCCGGCTTTCCATCGCCTCCAAAACCTGGCATGTCCTTTATTGACCATAGCTGTTAAAAGGACGTAAAACACAAACAAACCAAACCTTTTTTGACTATTTATGACTCATCTCGGTAATTTACATAATATATGTGACCTTTAACATGTCAGTATTTAAAAGTGATAAACATTTTTTGTATGTCTGAATTAGAATGTACTTTGAAATGTGAAATACTATCTAAATACATTGATGAAATGATTGATTGTCCGTACAGAATATAGCTCCCCCCTCTACACACACCCACACACCCACACACCCAAAATGTCGTAGCTCTATGACGTCATTGATTTAATGTTGACTGGTTGTATTCATGCCCAGCGGTTAATGTACCAGAAGTCGTATATCTGAATAAGAATAATGTACTTTGAAATGTATAATATGAATAAAATACAGTTCATTTTCTTTGATGGAATAATTGTCAGCAGTGTTTGTACAATCGATTTAATGTTTTGAGTGTTATTTACTCGGGTTTTAGTCAAAATCCAGCTATAGACATATATGTGCACTGTAGTGTCCCAGGGTAGTAAATGAAACTTATATAGATAAGAAAATATATTGGCGATAGTTGTATTCCATTTCACATACAAAGAAATTCTCTTTAAGTTTCATATCCGATTTAATGTTTTGAGTGTTATTTACTCGGGTTTTAGTCAAAATCCAGCTATAGACATATATGTGCACTGTAGTGTCCCAGGGTAGTAAATGAAACTTATATAGATAAGAAAATATATTGGCGATAGTTGTATTCCATTTCACATACAAAGAAATTCTCTTTAAGTTTCATATCCGATTTAATGTTTTGAGTGTTATTTACTCGGGTTTTAGTCAAAATCCAGCTATAGACATATATGTGCACTGTAGTGTCCCAGGGTAGTAAATGAAACTTATATAGATAAGAAAATATATTGGCGATAGTTGTATTCCATTTCACATACAAAGAAATTCTCTTTAAGTTTCATATCCTCCATTATCTTCTGCATATTTTTGTCAGATATAGGCATGGTGAAAACTTTTATTAAGGCCTTAGGGGGCCTGAGAATATATTTCAGTAGGTTTATTCAGACCTGTCCCGATGCATAGGAAGTATCATAAGACGATTTAGAAGTTTATATCAATGCAGATGAAAATGTCATTCCCACGATAGTGGTATATATAGGTGGGATAGAAGTCTCTGGAAGTCTATTACCTTATTACTTACTTAACTTCACCTTACTTTTTTCCTCTGAAAAATCATTTTTTGTTGATTTACAAAAGAAAGTATTGTTATTGTTGAAAACAGGATAGTTTTTCTTCTACTTTCATAAATGAAAAATAACGATTATGAAAAGAAAGGAATTTAAAATTAAAAAATACCCTCCTAAATACACAAAATACAAGATGAAAAATCGAGCCTATATCCAGATTCTAAAAATAATTTAAACAAACAAATACACAGCAGTAATACAATGAAAGCTTTTATTTAGTGTAATATCTATATATGTCTGTTTAAAGGTTATAACAATGTAAATACAAACCAAAATGTATCAGTCATTCTTGTTACATTTCAATACTACAAGGTATAAAACAACTCAACCAAACCTGTATTACCTTACATTTACCGGTTGATTACATTTTGTAAACATTATGTGTAATACACTTTAATTAATAGTTGCTAAAAAGTGATAATAGTTATTATTATATGAATACCGTGTTATGCAGTGTCATAAAGCAATCACATAAATTATGTTTATGTAACGTGTGTAATATCATTCCGGAAATGACGTCACAATCGAATATGTACATGTCTCCCTTCTTCAGCTTAGTAAACTCTGACTGCGTATTAATTAGCGTATACGCAGTGAAAAATATGCTCGGCGGATGGATACTTAAATATGGCACCGTTCATGCTTCAGCGAGATAATAGTCCAATGACAACCAATGCTTAGATCATTCACCATCTAGATACATAGAACATATTCGGAATCCATTATGTCCAAAAGAATGCTGACAAACTTCTTATTCCATGGATGCACATTCAAATTTCTTTGGCAGTAACGTCAACAATGGCGGCTTCGTTCTGACCCCGTTACTCCACGAGCAGTGTGTCAATGCCCGTACATGACGACCGTTGTAAATGAATAGAAAAGTTGGAATGGCTTCTCACATTGCTTATTTTGAAATTTAAAAAAAGCATGAAGGGAAACAAATGTTGTTCACTGCGTATTTTCTCAATTTACTCATATATCGATATATTTACCTTCGCTCCCATTGAAGCTGTGTAAACCGTGACTGCGTATAAATTACCGTATATACAGTGAGATTCCTTGGAGACCATTGTTTCCTATTGATGAAATATGAGGATTGACCTCTTTTTTTTTTACCGCGTGTACGATAGTCTAAGATATTCAGGGGTTACACTCATTTTCGCTCTCTGCACCCCTGGAATATGTCTTTGGAAACTCGAAGGCTCACTTTGCAGCACCTTGTGGACGAGACGAGAAGGCTAGTTTGATCCTTGTACATCAAAAGAATCTCGCAGTCACGTAACGGTAAAACTTTCTGGCTATGAAGCCGGGCGTCGCTCCTCTGTAACCTTCAGAGAACAAACATCAGCCTAGTGATTGGTTAGGAATTTTTACCCGAGATCTAGCCACGTGCTTTCAATTTTGCTATGACATATTCCAGGGTTGTTAAGAGCGAAAGTGAGCGTAACCCCTGGATATCAAGGATGAGGGTAGGTAACCGGAAATAAACATTTTTTTGCATCGGTCTAAGAAAAGTATTCAAATCTAAAGCGAGTAAATATTATCTATTTGGATGTTTAAGTCATTTGGAAACGAAATTTTCCGAGTAACAAACCATAAAGATACATTTTATACAAAGTACTCATAAATATTGATATTGTGCAGTGGTTTTGCAATGTGTTTATAGGGTCCGGTACGGGGACCCATATCCAATTGAAAAATGACCCTGTATTTTCCCAATTTTAGTCTTAATTTTCCGTATTAGATAAAATAAAAAGCATTTTTATGCAAGTTTCCAGTCGTTATATGTGCAACGTTCAAAGTATTAACGTCCATGAAAGAGCATTCAAAATACATAAACAACGGAAAATTGAAATTGAATCAACAAAAACACTGAAAATTGATGTGCTTATTTATTGCTATACATTTTACTGTAAGCAGCTATAGGAAAACTTTTTGTAATTTTTTTCACATTGCAGGTTTTATTTCTCAAAACTTATGATATGTTCTCGAATCTGTGCATGTGGGATCACTGATGATATTTCCCAATTTTTGCCAAATGCCGATGATATTTTCCAATGCCTGTTCAGGGGCCCTTTACCATAATAACTGGCAAAAACCTGTTGTGTTTGTCTCCCTCTCCGATAGAATGGAATAATTCCAAATAACAGAAAAATTCATAAAAACACACAACAAAGGCCTCAGTCTAGCTCACTAATTCGTTGATCTTAGTACAAACAATCGAGTTACTTATGTCTGTCCTATTACCGCGAATTATTGTACCACGAAGTCAAGTGAACCGTATATTACTATTTCCCCATGTTACAGTCTCATCACGTGTACGGTACCGTCAAAACACCCGATCCACACGTCCCCGCACGTGTCCACACCCACCACAGTAGGTTGAACCACTCCGTGTCTCCAGTCCAGGAGACACACAGCTTGTTTGCCGTCTCTCGGTAGGACGTACACCTGATTTTTACTGAAGTCTGGTACAAAGACTTTATCGTACTTATCACATGACATCTTCCAGAGGCCCTTACTACCGACCTTTTGACCGTTGTTGAGTTCACCTGTCCATGTCTGTATTACTGTACCTGACTCGTCTGTTATCTTTATCTTTCTATCAGTCCAACGTCCTCCAATTGTTTGAACTGCACACGGACGTCCCGATGACAAGCAGACAACGAGCATTATAGTTTCTGATCCAATCGTGACCTTCCTTATAGTCGTGCCTGACTGATTCAGTACCACTATGTCTGGTGTAGCTGTACTAACAAACACCTCGTCCCTCTCGTTGATGCTGATGTCACCTACCTCATGTGGTCTGTGGTCAGCAAATGTTGTCACTTGTTGGTTGTGTAGTGATAGTTTATATACAAATGTACTAACTGGATTACTGATTATAAGTATGTCTGTTGTCCCGACCATGGCGATTCTGTACGGACAGAAGTCCAGTTTTACTGTCGATTTGACCACACCATCCCTGTTAACCAGTACCAGACCCTGGTATTGGTATATTGATAACCACGCGTGAGTGTCGTCGACTTGACATATACCGAGTATTTTATTCTGTTGAGTAACAGTAAATTTAGAGAGACGTTGAACGTGTTTACTGTCGATAGCTGTCTTCTCGTACTGGTTCTTGTGGTGTAATACACCTAAAATTTTCGACAACAGGACGCTGTCGATACCGGTAACAAAGCTTGGTGGTTTTGGTCATACAGGGGCAGAGTTGTCCTCAAAGACCTTTATGTTTCAAACAAGGATACGCTTGATGTATTCGTCATTTCTGCTTCTTCAAGCAGACGCGTCAGTTCTTCGACTTTTTTCTCTGAACGTTGTCACTCTTTCTTGTGTATGGTTGATTCTTCTTTTTCTAAAGATGATAACTCGGCCAGGACTGCATCAGCGATATAATCTACTTCTGCCGTTAACTTCGTCCTTTGAGACTTCACCTCTTTCCTCATTGTATCAATGTTGTCGTTGAACCCTTCGTTAACACGATGTCACTCTGATGTCTCGTTCTTGAAATGTTCTATTTTAACAGAAATTGCTGTCATATGTTCTTTGATATGTTGCTTTTTAATAGAAAATCCGTCTTCAAAATGTTTCCAGTTGTGGTGTTTATGAGTTTTAGATAAACATATCGAACAAATCAACTCGTTGCACTCCGAACAGAAAAGATCACACAGTTTACCGGGGTGTAGTTTACATACCTCTGGTACAGGCTTGTCGCCTTGACGGTATGCCTCCCCGATCGTCACGACGTCGTCGTTTTTAGTTTTCTTTCTGCGTGAATGGAATTCCTTACATCGGTCACATAAATTCTCCTGACAATCGTTGCAATACCATCATACCCCTTCTTCACTGTCACACAAAGAACACGTGTAGGTAACGGGCTCCTGGGCAAGCCGTACGGATCTGCTATTTGCCATGGTGTTGGTACTTTAGTGCGTTTGATGGAATTCATTGCCTACAAACTGTGAACTGCCACCATTTTGTTGTTGTGTCTGTTACGGGTATATCACATGATTTTACCGACAGACAGTATAAAGTATGAAGTCCCGAACTCCTAATCTTGCTATCATACTTAAAACTCATATAATGTGTGTATAGGACATACCGTGTACATGTGTGTTACCTTGCACAATTTATTTGTGATTTGTACTTGAGTAATGTCCCTACAACCAAGCATTATAACTATTGAAACAGAATCACGAGTGTTCTCATGATGCTGTGTAAACTACCTACTATAGTAAATGACCAGTTTTTATCAAGATTTTACATCACTTTCAAATAAAAATGTAAGGATTTTGAGTTGACAGCAAAATTTCAAAGGAAGTAATGTACAAAGAATTTAATAACACTTACCAGAGAGAGAGAGAGAGAGAGAGAGAGAGAGAGAGAGAGAGAGAGAGAGAGAGAGAGAGAGAGAGAGAGAGAGAGAGAGAGAGAGAGAGAGAGAGAGAGAGAGAGAGAGAGAGAGAGAGAGAGAGAGAGAGAGAGAGAGAGAGAGAGAGAGAGAGAGAGAGAGAGAGAGAGAGAGAGAGAGAGAGAGAGAGAGAGAGAGAGAGAGAGAGAGAGAGAGAGAGAGAGAGAGAGAGAGAGAGAGAGAGAGAGAGAGAGAGAGAGAGAGAGAGAGAGAGAGAGAGAGAGAGAGAGAGAGAGAGAGAGAGAGAGAGAGAGAGAGAGAGAGAGAGAGAGAGAGAGAGAGAGAGAGAGAGAGAGAGAGAGAGAGAGAGAGAGAGAGAGAGAGAGAGAGAGAGAGAGAGAGAGAGAGAGAGAGAGAGAGAGAGAGAGAGAGAGAGAGAGAGAGAGAGAGAGAGAGAGAGAGAGAGAGAGAGAGAGAGAGAGAGAGAGAGAGAGAGAGAGAGAGAGAGATGGGAGGAGGAAGCCATTAACATCTTACATTATTCACATACCTTCAAACTATAAAAGTACTGTATAACAAACCGACAAAATCTGTTTCCAAACAAATCAGCATTGCACGTGTATCGATATGTACGTGTATCGATATGTGAACGGGGTATTATAACTGACACAAAAGGATCAGAGAGGTCTTTCCGTTTCAGGAGTTATAGAATTGTACGTAAAGACTGGTCAGTCTAGTATTATGTAAAACGATATGTGTTATGTAGTCAGACTCGTCCTGATACCATTTATAATCTACACTGTAAATATAGCGCAAATAACAAAAGTATCAACATAAGATTAGGGTATACAGTAAGTTATAACGAGTTTGCTCCCCTTGTTCGAGTCCTTAACAATTCATTCAGCTATGAATTGTACTGAGTGGAATATACACGACTACAAAGTCTGACAAGTAATGTCAACACTGATCTACCTGGCACACTACGATGCATTATGGGATAATTGAAATACCTAATGAAAATTAAGTAGATTTTAAGTATTAAACACTCTAATGCCTATATATTCTAGTGTCAAATATTGATGACACCTGTTGAATCCGAGAGATAAAAACTATTTGTGTCTAAATGATAGGAGCAATATACGACTTGTAACCTAGTACTGATGATAAATTGTGACATGACCGTTTACAGGATCCTTCAGTAGCCAAATTATATCCTAGAAAATAGACTAGACGATTTCAGCCTGTGAGTTGTATACCAAATTTCCTTTCATCCCGTAATGTATAAAGCACCCCCCCCCCCCCCCAACCGCATACTACACACATCAAAATGTCGTAGCTCTATGACGTCATGAATTTAATGTAGACTGGTTGTGTAAATGCCAAGCGGTTAATATGTTTTAGAGGTCAGTATTTAAAAGGGATAAACTTTTCATTTATATCTGCACTAGAATGTACTTTGAAATGTGAAATATGAATAGAAAACAGTACATTTTCTTTGATTGATAAAAACTTAATACCGCTCGAAAGTTATAGTTGGTTCAAATATAGATACAGTTGTGCTTAAGTAAGCCCGTTCAGAGGGACCCGATAACTTATCACTATAAGTACGTTTGAACCTGTCCTGATAATAAATACCTCTGATTTTAGCCCGGTCATAGGGGCTTGAGAATTTATCACTATAAGTATGTTTGAACCTGTCCTGAAAATAAGCACCTCTGATTTTAGCCTGGTCATTGGGGCCTGAGAATTTATCACTGCAAGTATGTTTGAACCTGTCTTGATGATAAAAACCTCTCCTTAGCCGGTCACAGGGGCCTGAGAATTTGTCTTTGTGGGCATATTTGGACCTAAAGCTGAAGTCTTGTTTTGATGGTTTGTCCAGACATTGGTACTTCTTATAAGCACGGTCACAGGGGCCTGCAAATTTATCAATGTAAGTATGTGTGAACCTGTCCTGATTATAAGTACCTCTGATTTTAGCCCGGTCATAGGGGCCTGGTAATTTATCACTGTAAGTATGTTTGAACCTGTCCTAATTATCAGTACCTCTAATTAGGCCGGTCATAGGGGCCTGATACTTTATCACTGTAAGTATGTTTGAACCTTTCCTGATAGTAAGTACTACTCGTAGGCCCGGTCACAGGGGCCTGATAAATTATAACCTAAAGTATGTTTGAACCTGTCTTGATAATCAGTTATAGCATTTTCTTGTTTCTGATTTTCCTGTATAGTCTGATGACCTTTTACCTTTCGTCTGATGACCTTTAACCTTAGTCTGATGACCTTTCACCTTACTTCTGATGACCTTTCACCTTACGTTTGATGACCTTTCACCTTACGTCTTGTGACGTTTCATTCTGATGACTGCAATCATTTTTAATCCACGTCGATTGACATTTCTAGATTCAATATTAAGATGCCTGAACATAGTTTTTATCTGTCATCATACCGAATGTGACCTGGTGAACCCTATAATCCATGATTATATTTGCACACGTCTCCCTTCCTGATATGTCCTCGTATCTGGCCTGTTTGTGTGTCGCCAGCTGTGTCTTAAGAACTGACAATGAAGGTATAATTGGGATTATTTTATTGTGAAAATATACAGTACACGATATATAGATGGGAGTTTATTTGTATTCTTCTTTTCCTCATAGAAAAGGAGGCACGGTAGTCTAGTGGTAGGACGACGGGCTCGTGACCGAAGGGTTACGGGTTCGAGTCACGTCACGTCACTGTGTTGTATCTTTGAATAAGATACTTGTTATTCCGCTGGCGTAAGAATTATACCTGCTGCCCCATTGCATGATCGTAAGAGGCGACTACATTTTGGATCTTATCTTTTCTCTTCTTCCTTATGTCTCCCTTAACAATGCCTCACTTTTGGCCTTTAGTTGAGCGTTCGCCCCTGTGAGGAGGGCTTTGGGTTCTGTCCCCTGGCCGATACATACCAGAGTCTGTAAAATGGTAGTTTCTACTCCTGCTTAACGCTCAGCAATTTAGGAGTGGGACGACTGGTTCGCCCATTGTCAGTATAATGTGACCGGGTGGGGCGTCCTGCTGGGTGTCTTCGGTAGTATGTTCAGTGAGGTAGCACTATAAAGGCGGCATTAGTTCCGCGCTATCACAAGGAGACAAACACGAACATATCGCAGCCTCCCAAAAGCTAAGGATCATAGCTGTTGATAGGACGTTAAACAATACTAAACCAAACCAAACCAAACAGTTTACTCACTCCCCAAGGAATTGCGAAAGATATTGGCTGGATGCAAATGTATACGTAGCCTGTTTGTATTCATGCCTAACGGTTCCAGAGGTCAGTATTTAAAAGTGATAAACATTTCATGTATTGGTTGTATTCATGCCTAGTGGTTAGTATGTTCCAGAAGTCGTATATCTGAATTAGAATGTACTTTGAAATGTGAAATATGAATAAAATACAGTTCTTTTTCTTTGATTGAATAATTGTTAGCAGTATCTGTGCAATCTATTTTAATGGTTTTTATTCATTTCTATGTAACATGCATGGTATAATTAAACACCTTCGTACCAAATT